AATGTCATCCCAACAAAAATTTTGACAAAAAAAAATATGCCGCCTTTTGGGGTGAAAAAAGCAACAGCCCCCTTTTTCAAACCCTTAAAGTGCTAAAAAAGAAAGTTTTTTTTCCCCTTTGCTAAGGTTACAATGTAAATTTTTTACATTTCTACCGTTTTAACCTAATACTTTAAAGACTACTTAATTCAGACAGGAAAAGGGAGGGTAAATTTCAAATACTCAATATTTTACTCTTTTAAATTAAACCCTTTCGGGGTTTTTCCGCGCCCATACATCTTAGCACCGGGTTATTGCTATTTAAAACCCAAAATTCAAGCGCCTTCCAACTAGGGGAAGAAAGCTGGTACCTTTCATATGAATGAATGAGCCCTATGTGGTCGTGTGCACAGTTAAAAAAAAATACTGCACACACAGTGAAAATAGAAAAAAAATTTTAAAACATTTTTATTTTTTTAAAACAAGGCTTTCCCAACGTATTTTCGAGGGGTTTTTTAGGGTTATATTCTATTTTTCCCTGGCCTTTTTTTAAAAGAAGGGAAAGGGGGGGGGGGGGGGGGGGGGGGGGGGGGGGGGGGGACATATTACAAAATTTGGGAGTGATTTTAACGGGTTTCACAATAAAAAGTACCTTAAAATTAATTCAAACTAGCAAAAGGGTTCAATTTTGCTAAGTTCAAAAGTAAAAAAAATCAGGGCCCGTGCCCAATATAGGGAAAACGGGGGGGGGTGGTCTAATATTCTTTCAAAAGGCGTGTATTATTTATTTCCCTTTCTACACTAAAAACAGTAGTCTGATAAAAAGTAAATCTTTATTTTTTGTGAGAATAAAAATTTAAAGTGGAAAAAGCCCAAGAAATTTTCCCGAGGGGCATGGGAAAAGTGAAATAAAAAAAGAGAACCCTTTTTATTTTAGTGCCAGGAATGTCTTTCTTTTTATTCGGACCCCATTTTGGGAAAATTTGGGATCTTTGAAGTTTAAAATTTGGGAAAAATTTCTAAATTCTGACCCTTTATTGGATTTTTGAAAAAGGGAAAGGGGGGGTTTTTTGCACTCATTCCCATAGAAAAAAAAAGGAGTTTTAGCGAAATGTTATGATTTTTGTCCCACTATAACCCCCGGAAAATTTTCCCAAAATAGGGCCAATGTGGGGAAAAATTTTCCAATTGGGGCAACATCGTCCCGGCCGCTAACTCCACGAGAGATAAATTCCCTAAGTTTTTCCCTCAAATTTCAACTTTTTTGGGGTTTTTTAGATCGGAAAAAAAATTTTTTTATCATTTCAGAAGAAAAATAAATTTTTTTTTTTCCCCCAAAATTTTTTGAACCCAGAACAATTTTAAGGGGAGGGCCTCTCAACCCCGAAAGGTTTAAAAAGAGGTGTTCCCGCACAAACATACATTTTTTGGTTTTTAATAAAGGTTTAATAAATAAGGGATAAAAAATATTTGGGAGAGTTGCCTCCCAAAATTTGGGTTTTGGATTTGCATAGGGGTGGGTATGGTTATTTTTTGAGAGATGAGATGATTTTTTAAATTTTAGTCCTTGATTTGTGGGCAAAGGGGGCCTCTTGCTGGTTGGGCAAAGAGTTTCCCGATCTTTAGGCCCCATATGTGCAATGCCCTTTTTTTCATGATGAGAGGGTGGAACAAGGGGTGTCAAAAAGTGTTTTGTGCTCATGTTGTGCCTCCGTGTTCTGTTGTAGCTGTCAAGGAAAGTTGGAGCAGAGGGTTTATATTGGAGTTTAATGTTCTGTATATATAGTAGGCACAATAATAGGTGTGTATATTTTGTATATAAAGTAAGTTTAAGCTCTTGAAGAGTGGTGGGGTGTGTTGTCTGCTGCAGGAGTTTGTGATCATCCGCACCACAGCCTTTTGTTGAGTTATTAAAGGTTTAAGGTGATTGGCCGTGGTAGATCCCCCAGCACAAATACCATAGGCAAGGTAAGGGCATATTAGAGTGATATAAAATAGGGAGCATCATTTGGTGTATAGAGTATCATATCTTGGAAAGGATGTCTACTGTTTTGGAACCTTTCTTAGTTATATACTGGATGTAGGTCTGAAATTTAAGATTACAGTCAAGTACATGTACAACGTATATGGGCCTAGCTGACATCAATGACATACTACTACACTATATAGAAAGCCCCTTGTTATGCAGAGTATTTAAGGCAAATTAGGTTAATTTTTCTCCCCGGGATTAGACCCACACCAGTCAACTAACACCCTAGTACCTATTTTACTACCAGGTGAACAGGGACATGTCCTAATGTTTACACTCATACCAGGGATCGAACCAGGGACCTCAATGTGTGAGTTGAGTGCGCTAGCTATCGAGTGACGGGGCACCCATGATGCAAATTCGCATCATGGCACGTGGTTGACTGTCGCAACCCCAAATCCTGAGGTGTCTCCTGGTGTCGCAAAATTTCCCACCCCCCCAAAAAAAATTTTTTTTCTTATGAAATGAGAGAGAATCTTTTCCCTATTGTAATGACACCAAAAGAATGAAATTTGATGGAAAACTGACGGAATTACGCTCTCGCGAAGTTAGCGACCTCGGCGATATTTATGAATCAGCGATTTCGCCCACTTTGAGCCCTATTTTTTGCTAATTCCATTGTTCCAGTCGACCAAACTCATAGCTATTTCTTTAGAACTCCATTTTTTCTATCGACTGAGTACAAGAAACTGCCCCTTTACTGATTTCAACTACCCAATAACGTGGTCAGAAATTTGCAATTTGGCCAATTTCACGAAAATTAAAAAATATGACAATTTCAAAACAGGGTCCAGAATGAACAATGCAGACATTCCTGGCTCTAAAATAACATTTTCTTTGTTCATTAGTCACGTCTCCAGACCCCTCTGATTACTCTTGCTTTCTATTTTGAATTCTTATTTTAACAAAAAATAGAAGATTTACTGTTATGCAGACTGCTGCAATATTGTAATAACTGTATAAATAATGTCAACCCATTATGACTGGTTAGAATGGTTACTTGGACATTTATTGGAAATTGATATCATTTGTTTACTTTTGAACATCGGCAAAAATCAAACATTTCCCCTACTTTGAGCTCTTTTCATAGTAAAACCAATCAAAATTACCTCTATTTCTATAATATGTTTCCATTCTATCAAATGAGATCAAGAAAACGAGAATACAACCATAAATACTATACAAAAATAGACCACAAAGTCGGCATTTTAATTAAAAAAAACGGAGTTTTCTTTTTTTCTCATTATGCACTGCGTGCTGCAGGATTTTTTTATATGGTGCACACTGACCACATAGACCCATTCTCTCACATGTGGGCCTACCAGCTCTCTCCTGCTTGATTTGAAGCCGCTAGAATTTATGAGTAGTATATATACGTCAAACATGATGGCTCGTAAGACGTATATATACGACCAAAACAGTCAAAAGGGTTAAATTTGGCACGAAGAAGTACAAGTGCCCTACACAACAAAGGATAGGTGCATAGTTGGTGTGCACTATTGAGAAAAAATCCCAACCTGCTAAATGCATTGTGGGAGCCACATGTTGCTCCGATTTGTTCACCATGAAAATCTGGTGGGCTAAGAATGTGAACAGAGCCTGTAAATAGTGTGTATATCTAATAGAACATTACAAACATTAAATATATATATTTTTAGTAAGTTTTGAAGCACTGTTGTTAGAGATAAGATAATTTAAAATAATTGTCAGTGTCCATTAACCCTTAAACCGTCCAAATGTAGATCTACATTCGCATACATAGTGCTCCAAACGTAGATCTACGTTCGATTTTACACTGTTTCTTATGTAAAAAAAGTAGGTGTACGTTCGGAGCGCTATGCGTGCAAATGTAGATCTACGTTTGGACAGTTTAAGGGTTAAGATTTTAGTGCTATTCAATATTACTAAAACAGAGGCAAAAAAAATTATATAAATAGAAGAAAAACCTCAAAAAATTACCATTTACATTATTACACATCAAGCTGCAGGTCCCAATGTTGCCACACTGAGTGCCAAAAATGCCAACTTTGCAGAGTGTAATTACGTAAGTATTGCTTATAGTTCAATTCTGTTTTATTACCAATGGAAAAATAAGCTCTTCAACGTCAGAAGAAAATCATATTTTTTTTTTTTTAATTTAGTGAATCATATGGAAGGTTTTTATTTTTAGCCCCACTGTACTTAAGGGCTAAAGACTGAGCTTGAGAGACAGTAGTCCCTTATGAGTAATCTCCACCCATTTCAAAAGTAAGTCATATACCATACATAACACACAATAAATAACAATAAATAATACAGAAAAATTAACAATGTATTTCAAGTAACCTGTAAATGAATATTCTAGAGCTACAAGCTTTGCAGATAAAACGAACAATACCAAGGAATTACTAACGTACAAACACCCAACTTTTGAACATCTGAACTTACAAACATGGCAGTTGGAAACCAATTTATGTTTTACAAATGGCAAATGCCATTCAGCAGTTATGAACATATATGAAACATAACCCTCCTTTATACTGTATATACTATGGCTTTCTATGAGATATGGGTTCAGAATTTCTGACAACTCATTCATAAGATAAAACAGAGGAACATAATGCATTCATAAGCTAGCACCCTCCTGTATCAAAAAATAAATATTTTACAGAGAACTGCCTAAAAGAAAATTTTGTTAATTTTGAAGAAAAAATGAACAGTAGTTGGAATATTTTTATAGTCAAATTCATAGGAGCCATAGAGCACCAGGAAAAACGGAGGGGGGGGGGAGGGTTAAGATAAGATAAGATAAGATAAGATTTCGTTCGGATTTTTAACCCCGGAGGATTAGCCACCCAGGGTAATCAGATTATACCCAAAGAATGAAAGTTGCTAGCAAATGTTTGGGTTGAGCTAACATCAAGACACCTTCCTTGGAAGGAGTAGTTGGGATAAGATTAAACAGCTTACATCAACAGAGAACAGTGCTATCAATTCAAACTAATAACCTTACTTTCATGTCTGTTTGCATATGTAATGCGTGGCATCAGTTTTTCTTGACAATAATCGCGGCAAGCATCTCTGATCATTATCTCATCGTCTGTCAACTGGCTTTCAAGATTAAGTGCATCACGCCAATCGAACTTGACTGAAATTTTTTTTTAAATAATCATTACAACTCTGGTACAATACTCAGTTTTAAAAGAAATTTCAAAATTTTTACTCAAAATGCACAAAATTAAACATACAATATTTCAAAATACATAATCAATGTTTGATGAAAATTATTTACCTTTCTGAGCCTTCTCTTGTACCTCATCTGAATATCCATGTAAGGAATTAAATAGAAAATACTCATAATGAACACAACCAAAGACAATTTTGGTTTTCTAAATCTAATAAATCATAGTTTGATTTTATGTACTGGATTATTCTAAGCAAAATTACACAATGCATCATATTATCAATGTCTGCCTACAATATTTACGTCCCTTCAGAACTGTTGTACAGATTTATGGTGCCATAAAGTTATTTGTATACAGTGGAACCTCTACTTACGAGTGCATCCACATGCGAGTTTTTCCAAATACGAGCAGATGCTCAGTCGATTTTTTGCTTCCAGACGCGAGCAAAATTTCCAGATGCGAGCGGGCCTCAAGGTAGGTTAATTGACACTGGTGAGGGGGCTCTTATTCTTGATCTAGGGAATTGGATCTCATTTGTTTGTTGGACTATCTTATTGAAACTTGGGCAATGTATAATGAAAAGATGCTTCTTAACGTACACCAAAAATGAAAGAAATCAGACCATAAACAACAATGGCTGCTGTTACCACCACTAGCCACATACCTAATGACATGTATTTTATTCATTCTAGTGTATATATCATGTTTCTATGTTGTTAATATTATTTATTATGTCATATTGCATGAATTGTGATAGATAAATAAGCTGTTGAGTTGATATTAGGGAAATTATTAAAGTATTTTCTCGTGCCTGGAATTCCCCTGGAACAAATTAATTCCATTTCAATTAATTTAAATGAGGACAATTGGCTGCAAATGAGCAAATCCAGTTGCGAGCAAGGTCATGGAATGGATTAAACTCGTAAGTAGAGGTTCCACTGTATTTCCTCCACAAAATTTTTCTTGTGTCACAGTGAACATATGAAACTATTGTACTGTACCATGGTTTTAAACTGCTCTCATTAGTTTACTGTTGTAATTACTTACTTGGCTATTTGAGCTAGAGGTGCAGAGCTATGCTCATGGTGACCCATTTTCTGTAATTAATCCTCACATTATTATTATTATTATTTTTTATTTTTATTAACACACTGGACGATTCCCACCAAGGCAGGGTGGCCCGAAAAAGAAAAACTTTCACCATCATTCACTCCATCACTGTCTTGCCAGAAGGGTGCTTTATACTACAGTTTTTAAATTGCAACATTAACACCCCTCCTTCAGAGTGCAGGCACTGTACTTCCCATCTCCAGGACTCAAGTCCGGCCTGCCGGTTTCCCTGAATCTCTTCATAAATGTTACTTTGCTCACACACCAACAGCACGTCAAGTATTAAAAACCATTTGTCTCCATTCACTCCTATCAAACACTCTCACACATGCCTGCTAGAAGTCCAAGCCCTTTGCACACAAAACCTCCTTTACCCCCTCCCTCCAACGTTTCCTAGGCCGACCCCTACCCCACCTTCCTTCCACTACAGACTGATACACTCTTGAAGTCATTCTGTTTCGCTCCATTCTTTCTATATGTCCGAACCACCTCAACAAACCCTTCCTCAGCCTTCTGGACAACAGTTTTGGTAATCCCGCACCTCCTCCTAACTTCCAAACTACGAATTCTCTGCATTATATTCACACCACACATTGCCTCAGACATGACATCTCCACTGCCTCCAGCCTTCTCCTCGTTGCAACATTCATCACCCATGCTTCACACCCATATAAAGAGCGTTGGTTTAAACTATACTTCATACATTCCCCTCTTTGCCTCCAAGGACAAATTCTTTGCCTCCACAGACTCCTAAGTGCACCGCTCACCCTTTTCCCCTGATCAATTCTATGATTCACCTATCTTTTATAACCCATCCGCGGGACACGTCCATCCCCAAAAATTGAAAACATTCACCCCCTCCATACTCTCTCCCCCAATTGATATCCCAATCTTTCATCACCTAATCTTTTTGTTTCCTCATAACCTTTTCTTTTGTATTTATTTTAATTTTTTTCTTTGCTTTTCCCTACCAAATTCATCCACCAACCTCGCAAAATTCTCTTCAAATCTCCCAAGGCCATGCCCTCGCAAAAAAAGAACTGTGACAACTCCCACTTTATGTGTGTTCTTTTTCTTTTTAAATCCCTGTTTGCCAAGACCCCCCATTTACTTCTCTTACAAAACCCCATCTTTAAAAATATTAAAAAACCACGGTGACATCCAAAAATCCCTTTTCTAAGGCCTTTTTTAGGGAAAATAATCTCCCTTTCCCCATACTCTAATTGAGCCTCCTATCCTCGTAAAAATCTTCATGCTTCGTAACCCACCTCCCACCCATACACCCGCAACATTTTGGGGACCTGCCCCCCTATACCTTGTCATAGCCTTTTCCAAATCATAAAAAGCCCCAAAAACCTTTTAGCCTTATCTAAAATTTGTTCATTATTGTTTCCTGTAAACACCCGTCCACACACCCCCTACCTTTCCTAAAGCCCCCTTGTTCATCTGCTACCCTATTCTCCGTCTTACTCTTAATCCTTTCAATAATAACTCTACCATACACTTTACCAGGTATACTCAACAGACTTATCCCCCTATAATTTTTGCACTCTCTTTTGTCCCCTTTGCCTTTATACAAAGGAACTATGCATACTCTCTGCCAATCCCTAGGTACCTTACCCTCTTCCATACATTTATTAAATAACTGCACCAACCACTCCAAAACTATATCCCCACCTGCTTTTAACATTTCTATCTTCATCCCATCAATCCCGGCTGCCTTACCCCCTTTCATTTTACCTACTGCCTCACGGACTTCCCCCACGCTCACAACTGGCTCTTCCTCACTCCTACAAGAGGTTATTCCTCCTTGCCGTATACACGAAATCACAGCTTCCCTATCTTCATCAACATTTAACAATTCCTCAAAATATTCCCTCCATTTTCCCAATACCTCTAACTCTCCATTTAATAACTCTCCTCTCCTATTTTTAACTGACAAATCCATCTGTTCTCTAGGCTTCCTTAACTTATTATTTTATTATTATTATTATTATTATTATTACCAAAATTAAGTGCTAAACCCACAAGGTCCCAATTCCTCACATAATTTTTTAAATATCCAATGGTTTCTCCATGCTTATTCCTCCTCTTTTAATCCATTCTTTTATGGATTTCTGCATACACTTGCTCCTTCAGGGGTGAGGTGTGGGCGGGGATGGGTCAATAATATAATATACACCTTATTCAGGTAACCTAAAAATAATTTCACATGTAGCACAGTATATAAGAATTTGTACAATGGATCTGAGGATACGAAGTTGTGTAGGTATACATATATAGTACATAAAGTATATTTTAAGTAAGATTTTATTTGGATTGTTAACTATGGAAGATTATTATTATTTTATTCATGAAAAAAAGTTAAACCAGTAAAGGTCATAGAGTGCATGGAGGATGGAAGGTAATCAAGCTTGAACTGAAGAATAGAAGAGTTGCTCTAATTCCTTCCATGAAAATTATTACTAAACATGAAGGACCCCAATCGAAATAAGTCATTTTATGTGACTTTTTTCGGTTATCTTAGGTAATTTACACTATGCATGATAATTATACTTATGTGTACCTGTAAATAAACTTACTAAGCCAAACAGGAAATACACTAATTGGGGAAATGGAAGGTAACCAGGTTTGATTCAAGGAAAGTGAGGGAATCTCCAATACATTTTATTATGCATGCTTTGCCAGCATCCTTATGAGCAATGAGTCAGTAACTGATTAATGCAAGAAATCCAACCCACTGTGGCTTATTTCATTAATGTCATGATTTCCAAAATGGTTAATGGTAATGAATATGATAATGACTTGGTTATCAATGCACTCGCCACACACACTTAGTGTCCATGGTTCAATCACCACCACAGCTGGAAACGTTGAGCATGTTTCCTTACATTTATTGTCCCTGTTCACCTAGCAGTAAGTAGGTACCTGGGTGTTAGTTGACTGGCGTCCGTTGCATCCTGGGGAACAAGATTAGAGGACCATAATGGAAATAAGACAGACAGTCCTCAATGATACACTCTAACTTTCTTGGGTTAACCTGGGTGGCTAACTCTCCCTATCCTGGGTTATCCTGGGTGGCTAACCCTCCCTACCCAGGTTATCCTGAGTGGCTAACCCTCCCTACACCAGGTTATCCTGGGAGTAAATAAGTTTATTAAGGTACAGGTATACATAAATAGTTACAATGATTATCATAGATGTGTACATTACCTAGAATAACCCCAAAAAATCAGGGTAGGTTAGGTTAGGTGGCTCACCCTCCCTACTCAGCATTATCATTGGTAGCTAACCTTCCCTATCCAAGGGGATCCTGAATAACTAACCCTCCCTACCCCGGGTTGTCCCGGGTAACTAACCCTCCCCACCCTGGGTTATCCTGGGTAGCTAACCCTCCCTACCCCAGTTATCGTGAGTAGCTAACCCTCCCTACCCCAGGTTATCCTGGGTAGCTAAACCTCCCTATCACAGGGAATCCTGAGTAGCTAACCCTCCCTACCCCAGGTTATCCTGGGTAACTAACCCTCCCCACCCCGGGTTATCCTGGGTAGCTAACCCTCCCTACCACAGGTTATCTTGAGTAGCTAACCCTCCCTACCCCAGGTTATCCTGGGTAGCTAACCCTCCCTACCCCAGGGAATCCTGAGTAGTTAACCCTCCCTACCCCAGGTTATCCTGTGTAGCTAACCTTCCCTACCCCGGGTTATCCTGGGTAGCTAACACTTCCTACCCAGAATTATCCTGGGTAGCTAACCCTCCCTACCTCGGGTTATCCTGGGTAGCTAACACTCCCTACCCCAGATTATCCTGTGTAGCTAACCCTCGCTACCCAGGATTATCTTGAGTAGCTAACCCTCCTGTGGAAACTTAATTGGTCCTAAAAGGTTCCACAGGGCAGATACGTTGTACGAAGATCCCGACATGTCAGGGATGGAACGGCTCAGTTGGGTGGCCCTTACATCCACCCAAAACACACGTACACCCAGGTTGGCGGAGGTGGTTGGAAGGTACATTTTAATTGATA